CAAGTTCACTGCAGTTTGCACAGAAGTTGTAAAAAATTTGAAAAATCATGATTGCGCGGAGAAACACATGTAGGTCGTTGAGGTGCGAACTGGTTAGTTGAGTATCCGGTGTAGAAAATTTAGTAAATCTATTATGAAAGTGGTCTAGTGTGAATTCTATTGGAAAAGTGGTATTCGTATGAAAATGGCATATATTAGGGCCTAATTAAATGGCTGAAAATATAAATAATGAAGGGATAGTTAAGAGTTCTCCATCTTCCTCTCCATGCCACTGAAAACGAAAATGACGATGTTAGCCATTAGAAGGCAATCGTAAGCTGACGGCCCAGCTGTCATCTACTCAGTCTAATGGGACAGATGTCTCTCTATGTAAACCAGTAATAAGAATTTCAGGGTAAGCTCGGAATTTCAGGATGAACTTACCGGAAGCATGACATGACCCGTTGCTTAAACTGCTCTGCTTTAAGTCGAGCAGTCACATTCCGCAATGTACGACCCAAAGCAGTGAAAATCTATAAAATAAAGCAAATGAAGTAAAAAGCAGTCTTATCGGGGCAAATTTCATTAGAATTCAGGTAAATATACTTTGGTCAGAAGTTCGCCGAAATACTGCCGGAAATAAAAGACGTCTCTAACTCCACGTGAAGCCGCGTTCGCCAATAGGTCCGAGATCAGATAAAGCCTGACAAAAAGTAACACTATAGTGATTAAATGAAACCTTCTAACACACTATATATCCTAACTAACCTTGCTATCTTTTTGTGCAGTGGAGTTTCGTCAATGGTAAGGGACTCATAGATGCAATCACATATTTCTCGGGCACATGTAGCATGATCCGCACACCACACCATTGCCTCTCCAATCTAAGGACAGTTAATGTTAACTCACCCCAAAACACATGGATCAGAGCCTCTCCAATCTAACAAGGGAATGGTTTGAACTTCCCATGGAACTTTGAATGGAGACCTAGGTACATCGATAGAGCCTCGAATGCTGATTACGAATATGCAGATTAAAAGTGCTACGGGGACCTCCCAGACGAGATCTGGGTGGTCAAAGTTTGCGAAAAGTCAGTTTTGGCTCGTAAGCGCTGCTGATCGATGTTCGGCAGTGCCACCGTGGCCTAGTGGGAACGTTTCGCTTTGAAGTCAAACGCACGTGGGTTTGCATCCGGTTGGCGCGAAGATTTTTGCATCGCTCCGTATAAGAGCTTTAACTCTAATTTTCAAAATTCTTCCGAATTTACGGCCCAGCAGGGCAAGTAGATCAAGTACATCAAGTATACGACGTACTCGATCTAGTATGGATTTGGTCATATCTGCCCTCTCTGAACATATTACCCATCCGACAATTCAAAGTTTTGCCCAGAATCGCAATTTGGCCAGACGAGCGTTTTTTCGTCGAAGGATGTGATATTCGTGTTCAGGGGGTCGAAATCTCCCATGAACGAGTTTCTCGCCAATTAGAAACAAAGAAAAACAAACATTGGGGAAAGGAATACACTCCAAAGCACAGATGATCCGTTTCGCCCGTTATCGCAGACGAATCATCGATGTCTTACCAACCCCCGGGCTCTTCAGTGCGACAGGGTTGACGACATGGACATGGACTACATAGGGGAAGGAGTTAAGAAATAGGATAAAACGAGAAAAAATGTAAAAAAGTTGACATGCAAAATTCATGCAATAAAGATGAGAAGGAATTGTACAGGAAAAATGAAAGAAGGATATAACAGGTGTGAGTACTAAATACGTGTAAGAGGAAGAAAAATGGATTGTTGTAGATGGGCTAAACAAACTAAGGGAATATTGAGTAAAAGACACTGTCGCAGCGGATTACAAAAAGTTAAATCAAATTGTAATGGTAAAAGGAGAACTAGTGTTGAAGACCGCTGCCAATGAGACCGGATGCAAACCCGCGTTCATTTGATTTGAAAGTGAGACCGTTACCACAAGGCCACGGTGGCACTGCCGAGACATCGATCAGCAGCGCTTACGAGCCAAAACTGACTTTTCGCAAACTTTGACCACCCAGATCTCGTCTGGGAGGTCCCCGTAGCACTTTTAATCTGCATATTCGTAATCAGCATTCGAGGCTCTATCGATGTACCTAGGTCTCCATTCGAAAGTTCCATGGGAAGTTCAAACCATTCCCTTGTAAGGACAGTTAATCCCAAGACCCATGGATTAGATCTATTGTATAAAGGAAGATATTTACAATGATTATAGCACATACGCTATCGCATTCCGGAGTGAGCTCCCTGAGAATTTGTTCCAGCTTTTTCCTTTGACTTTTTCGTAGTCTAGCTTTCGGCTTCGATCGATCATTTCTCGGACTCCGCCTTGATCTTTCACGTCTTTCCTTCGTGTCCTGGGACCGAGAACTTCGTGCCTAAAGTCATTTCAATAAGGATTTGAATCGATTTTTTCCTGCTTATACAAGAAGTGACGGAAGTACAGAAGCACTGATAGATAGAATAAGTCCAAAACCTTCTGCCGCGTAATTTCATTTTATCTCATAATCCGAAGAGAGGTACCAGACACATAGAAGGACCCCAAACAACGACAGATTGGCAAAAACCACGCATTTGCTTTATAATGTGAGGACAATACTAGCGAGGGGATATAAGCAGGTATACTGCATCGAGGAAATCAACAATGGTCTTATTATGTCTCCATAAAGGGAGTGGCTGTTTGAAGGCACGGCCCACATCACCGCCACGTATCTGAGCTCTCTGAAGAGCAAGATAGTGAAAATCATAAGTTTGGTTCATACTTTGCGGCAGCGTACGCTAGCGTTTCCAGCGTTCGGCAGCGGCAGTGGCAAGGAAAGGATAGATATCGATCTAGCGTATGCCAGCGTCACCAGCGTGCGCTAGCGTAGCGAGGGCAAGGAAAGTATAGGTATCGATCTAGCGTTTCTAGCGTTTCACTAGCGTTTGCAGCGGCGGGGAGTAGAGACTATGGGAGAGTAGGAGAGTAGAAACAGTTCGATTAGGCGTGCTGTGAAATTGCGGCGTGTGTAGCCGCACCGCACTACTAATACTAATACGTACACTAAATTGGTTAAACTTGCATAATGCAATGGTTGAATTGCATAACGCATAAATGCAAAGCATGAACCTATCATTACCATCATCATACGATAAGCGTGGGACCATTTAGG